CCTTTCGCTAATGGCCGCTCACAAGCAGAGTTGTGCCAACAGGTAGCATGGCAGCTGAAGCAGCTGGCTACAACCAGAGATCGTCTCTCCAGAGATCACAGCAGCGTTTGGGTTTTTGCAACAGAAGATGGATGATATTTATGCAAATCCTCCCTCCCTCTGTGCTGCCTCCTGATACCCCACCTTTTCCTTCCCCGACACCCTGAGCTTTCAGATGTGCACTGAAATTGGCTGTGCTTCAGTTCTCTGCGGGTCAGTGACTGTTCCCCTTGCCCGTCTACTCAGCAAATGCTCTCTTCTGGTTTTTATTTACCTGGTCAACAGGAACTGTAGTTCTGGGGAGGGGGGATTGAGCAATCGCACCTCAGGGGAGCACATACCCCCCCTCAAGCCAAGGGTTCTGCCAGGGGCAAAAAGAAAAAAAAAGAAAAAAAAAAAAAAAACACCACACCCACCCAAATGAACCATGTTGACTTGCCCTGGAGTATTTTAAGTGCGTATTATGAAAAGAAAATATTTTTATGGATTCTTATTCTTTTATAATTATGAGTGTAAGATGTAGCGACTCATTAAAATATTGGAAAGAGACATGCTGGCTGGCATTTGTGCCTGGTTTTGGAGTGCAAGAGAGGGCTCGGGAGGAAATGGCAGCTGGCTCACGATAGCCAAAGCCGCGTCTGTGGTAAAAGCAAAGCGCTCTGTTCGGTTTCTGTGCCGAGCAGTGGAGAGAATATTAAATCCCTGATGTTCCTCGGGGGAAGCATGATCCAAGCAATTGAAGATGCAGAGTGGAGAGTTGGGAATCCTGGACTGTGTTCTTGGCTCTGCCGTTAAGGCGCTGCACGACCTTGAGCAAGCCAGACATCTCGTGCTTGCGAATACCAGCCTCGGCACTGGAGGTGGGTGCCTCACCCAGTGCCCTGACTCCCTCCGATGACTTGGGGGGATGCAGCTGCTCTGATCCAAGCGCTTCCAAGCGCTCGCAGCTCTGATCCCACGCTAGGACACGCGGAGCTGCTTTTTGCAGGTGCTGGGCCTGCCTATGCTCGCCCTCTCTGGAGCTTGAAGCTTACAAAACCTGGCCTTGCTGTTTTCCTTTCTATATGAGAGTCAGGCGTTAGTTAAACTGCTATTAAATGCCCTGAGGATGCAAGCTGGAGGCTTCTGTTTTAAATGCACAGCTGGAGCATTTTGTTTTCTGAACAGGGCTGTGAGCATATTTGTTTGCCCCTTCTTGTCCCCGTGCCCAAATAATTGTCCTGACTATTGCAGATGTGTTTTAGCTTCTACTGTGCACCCCGTTGAGTAACCCCTGGTGCAGCTTTGGAGGTCGGAGGGGCGGAAGGGGACGTAATGGAGGAAGTTGCACATCTCTGAAGTTTCCTTGAGAGAAACCTGCAGACAGAAAAGTTGCTCCCCTTTCTCCCTGCCTTCTTTAGAGCCAGGTGGGTGCCGGTGGATGGTAAGAAGCTTTATTTTGCAAGGTTTGGTTCTTTTCACTCTTAATTTAAACTGCTTTTTCCTGTCCCAAAAGAGCAAGTGTTTCTTAAAATGTCTGCAACGCACTCTTAAAATGCTCTTGTCTAGAAGAGTTTACAAATCTGTCGGCTCCTTTGATCCTCCAAGCTTGCTTATGAAGCTGTAGGATTATTTCATGCCATAAAAAGGGGTTGGTTTTCTTCTTTTGGGGATTGACTGAGGCATTAACTGGGAAATCACCTACCGCAATCCTGAGCTTTTCAATATGTAACAGGCTCTGTCGGGGATTGAAATACAAATGATGTAGGAGGCCCCCACCCAGCTGTCCTGCGGGAAAGGTAATGGGAGTACGAAGCGTGGTGCAGCTGGGTTCCTGGTATCTCTTTCAGACGGAGGATTTGCAGCTGTAGCGTGGAGTTGAGTTAATTTCCTGAGCGAGCAGTAATGGCCGGAGGATTTAGTAACAGCGGCGGGTGCTGTAACGGGTGCCAGGGAAACCGGGCAAAAATTACTTCCTCGAGAATTGGGACTAAGCATGAGAGTGGCTTGGGAGGAATTTCTCCCATGAAAACCCAACATGTGGGGCTTTATTTTTAGGTAGAGGATGTGGAGGGAGAACAGATGTTCTTGATGACTTATTTTTAAAACAAAAACATTGCTCGAACTACAAAATTAGCTCGGCAAAGCCACTGCTTGCCCTGAAAGATGCGCGAATGGAAAACTATCTGGCATCTCCATTCCCAAAGTGTGTGGAATAAAGGTGCAACGATGGCTCTTGCTCTTGGAAAGCCACGTCGGTAGAAACTCTGTGTTCAGTGATTAGGGGTGTCCCAGGCGTTTGATCTCTCCCCTCTGCCGAGGCCTTGCCCTGTGCTGCATGGCTTTGCTTTTTGCGGTGCCCCCAGAATAACTGAAGTTGCTCAGAAATACCAGGGTCCGTCAAAGGAGGCGTGGGGCGATGTGAGGAAGACAAACGGCTGCGGTGGAAGGGGGGCTGTGGTGGCAGGAGCCGGGCCAGGGCTGGGGGAGGGCTTTGTGGGTATGCTGGCAAAAAGAAAGGGTGTAAATTGATATTGGAAAATCCTCACGGAGGGATTTTGGTGAAGCACGTGCACACGGGCATCCCACCTTCGTGCTGGGACAGATGAGAAGCTTCAGTCATCGGTGTGGAGCAGCGGCTCCTTCACCTCCCCACCTCTAGAAAAAGCTCTTATCTCTGGTTCCAGCTTGAGCCCCTTGCTCGGAGCTGGTTTCTGCTCGTGCAGATTTCCACTGGCTTTCAAGTGAAAATGGCTTCATCATGGCC